CTCTTTGAATTGAGAAAGCTCCTCGGATGAGGAGCGAAACGTCTTCTGTTACAAATAAAGTCCAGTTGTTTTGTATTGAACACTTTTTGAATTCATCATGTTCTGGATGACTGAGAATCTTCACCAGCATTTTGTTAGACTATAATTTAACCCCACAATAAAATGAGCAGTGCAGAACTAGCTCAACTGGATTACTCTTGATTACAAAACAAGTCAAAGACATTTAAACCAAATGTTTCTTGACAACTGTCAGGGCAAAACCACTCATAACTCATAAGTTTTGGGCCATTATGAACAGGTGCTCTGTGTAAAAGTTATGAACAACTAATAACCTGTTGTAGATTGTTAATGAAATGACTTAAATTTGAAAAAAAAAAAATTAATTCTGACAGAACTGAAGATTAGCTAACATTTAATGTCTGAATGCAGCCAAGACCAAAGTGGATTGCTGCCACAGTAAAACATCTCCAACCTGAACAGTTTCACTGCGGTTCAAGCTAAACCAATTTCATGAACTTTTACACCACCCTCAATTTCATCATGTATGGTTTTATGTTGTTTTTTTACACAGAATTCTGACGTTTTCCATAAAACCTCACTTCAAATTGCTGGAGTATCCCTTTAAAATAAGATGTTTCTGATTTTTTTTCAGATACCTAGTGTCAGCTGAAAAAGGTGACATTAAATAAAAATTTGTCGAAACCATGCCCGCATTTACTTCATTTCTTTCAATATTAGTTGAAAACGAAACATTGATTTCATCTAGTTTCCTTAAAAAGTTAAATATTACTGAACTATACATTTATGTGGATCAGTACTATTAGAGAAGTGTGAGCCTCCTTCAGGAAGGTTCCAGTTTATATGATGATCTCCCAACAGTGGGTCCTTCTCTACCAGTCAGACAGTTTTGAAGACTCTGTGACCGACGTCCTCCATCTTGAACAACTGGTTCAAAATGTCAAGAACAGTGTTTCAGTCAGCAGGTGGTCAGTGCTCTCAGTTGTGAATGGGAGGATAAACAATGGGTGTTAATATTTTGGAGACATGGTTTTTCCATCTTCACACCCTCTACCTCCTTTATCTCCATTAAAGGACCCGTCTTGATCATTCTTTGTCTTTCATAATGTCCATGTTTGTCTCTGCTGTCCTCGTCCTCCTCCAGTTCACGAGCAGTCATCCACGGCCTCTTCTTGCTTTTTTATAGATGAGATGAGGTTGAAAAACACAGTTTTAGAGTGTAAGGGTTGGAGCCATCTGTAAATCACACACACATACACAGTCAATCAATCAATGTTTATTTATAGAGCCAGAGTGCCACTAGGTTAGGGGTCAGCAACCTTTAACACCCAAAGAGACATTTGGACCCGGTTTCTTTTTTTTTTTTTTTTTTTTTTTAGCTCAGTTTAAGTGTAGAAACATTGTGAAGTGTTTCAATGAACTTATCATCATCGCTCAATTTTTTTTTTTTTTTTTTTTTAAAGAGAGAAGAAAGAAGAATAATTAAATAATAAAAGAGAAATAGATAAAACGAGAGACCACCACGACAAAACAACATGCACAGCACAATGCCACCCACAATATCACCATGAAACATTCGACATTGCACAAGGAATCATCTAGCTTCCACCACTACCCAACCTAGCGTGCATCTGTCACAGCACCTGAATCCAAACACCCGCGCAAGCACGCCTGCCACCACCAGATTTCTCCAAAAGAATGCCCAATAGTGGACGCGGGGGCCCACAGACCCGTCCCCCAGGACACAATGGCAACATAGGGAGGACCGGAGCCACAGACACACAGCGGCCCACAGGCCCGGAGCCCCAGGAGTCTCCCAACAGGGAGAACCGCACCCCCCCCCAGAGAGGAGCAGAGGAAAGAACCGGGTGACCCCAGCCACCACAATGCAGAGCCTCCAGGAAGCTGCAGCGACGACCCGGTTTCTAAAGGAAAAAAAAAACACTGGGAGCCACAAATGCTTTTTGACATCTAAAATGAAGACAACACTGTAAATATTGTTTTTGTTTACCTTTACGCTTCGTATAAACAACTATAGTGTGTTGATTATGAAACCCATGAAGCACTACAGAGAAAAATTATTTTTATTCATGTAATGAACACATTTTGAACTCTTAAAAAAAAAACAATGAGTTGAATGTCTCCTTCAAATGAATTAAAAAGATTAACTTGAATTATCCATGTAGCAAACAAAAAATGCCGTGATCCATCATCCTTATATCGCTTTGCCTTGACCTGAATAAAAATAAATAAATATGAAAAAAGCATCATGTCACTAAATATTGAAAAATAAATATTTGCAAAATATTAATTTGACCTGGTTAATGGGACTTCTGCTACTGAACATCTGCGCACAGCGTCTGCAGATCGAGGCTATACAAAGCTACTTCCATCTTTACGCAGGACTGTAAGCTGTCGTCAGTGAGGCATGTGCAGTGTTTGTTTTTAACGTAGTTCATGTTGGAGAATAGCTGCTCACATGCGTATGTAGATCCCAAGATCGACAGGACTCCAAATACATATTTCTTCATGTTTGTGTAGGTGTCAGGGATGGCATTCCATATTTCAAACACAAGTTTGTCCGCTCTTGGAAGGTTCTGATGGGCAGCATCTTCAAGATCCTTCATCAGGCGTTTGAATTTGGACACCCACATCTGTTTGTCAGCGATGTGAGCCAGCTCCAGCTCCAGCTCCAGATCAGGCTGACTTACACCTGCAGATGCAGTCAACAGGGATGGATCAATGCTCAGGGGAGTGACGGGGAAGGACAATGTGTTTGTTTTTTCCTCTCTGAACTCAGAATAGTTTCCCAAACAATGTTTGCATAGTGGTGACTGCAGATTCTCTGAATTTATCACCTTGTGAGCTTGTTTGAACTCCCTTAAAGAGGGGAAGTGAGACAGTGTACCTCTCTGTAAATCTCTGGCTAAAACTGTCAGTTTGCGCTCAAACACAGACTCCTCCTCCAGCATGTGCAGCACTGTGCCTCCTCTCCCCTGAAGAGATTTGTTCAGCGTGTTCAGGTGTCATGTCCACCATGAAGTGCAGCTTTTCCAGACAATCTGGCTGTTCCATCAGGAAAGGTGAGCTCTCTGCTGCTCATGAAAGTTTTCATCTCTCCCAGACATGCAGCGAAGTGTTTCAGCACCTCCCCTCTGGACAGCCAGCGGACTGTGTTATGCAGCAGGAGGTCATAATACAACTATTATACAACTTCCGGTACGATGGCGCCCGTGTACATGGCTTGCAATCCACCTCTGCTGATGGTGTTCGGATTATTTTTGTTTTGTTCGTTTTTTATCTGTGGCATAAATTCACTCCTAATGTATGACAGACAACAGCTTCTGGATCTTCGTTTTTCTGTCACTGATGTCGCTTACTTGAAACAATATGAGCGTACCTCTGGAACCCCCCCCCCCCTCCCCCCCTGCTGGCGGATGTGCCAGTTTACCTCCGCTGTGCTCCTCACCTCCATGCCCGGAGATATCGCTTCAGACGCCGGGGAAAACGTGCTGGTCAGCTGGTGAAGCTTAAAGCTCTGCGCGCTGCATCTTCCTCTTCAGCTGGTGGTCACGGTTTCCATCGCCAGCTTCCCGTGTGCCTGGACCAGGTAACCAATGGGAGTTGTCGGCCGGTGCACTGCTCGGACAGACCTGAAGAGGCTGTTATTGAAAATCTGCGGCCATTAGCACATGCTAACTCCACCGATGCTGGCTCCACTTCGGATAGTATCCGGATGTGTTTGGTCAACGCAAGATCTGTTACCAACAAAACTTTTATCCTCAGGGATTACTTTCAAGAGCACAATTTGGACTTTCTGTGCATCACAGAGACTTGGACGTCTCTGGGTGAGTCCAGCGCCTTGACGGAATTACTGCCACCGAACTATCTGTATTTTAACGCACCGCGGCCATCAGGCCGGCACGGTGGTGGATTACGAACAATATTCAAATCAACTTTTGACTGTAAACAACTGCCCATCCCAGTTTCCTGCGCCAGCTTTGAGCTGAGCGTCTTTGAACTCGGACATTCACCTCCGACGTTATTTGCACTCGTCTACCGCCCACCTCGATCTAAGGATTTCATAAATGAGTTTTCTGACTTCTTAGCTGAAGGTTTTTCCAACTCTAGGTCTGTCCATTCTTGCCATAGTAAACAGTAGTTTATCCTCTGGCGTGGTGCCAAAATCCTTTAAACATGCTGTCCAGCCTCTCTTGAAATAAACAAACCTTGACCCCTCAGTCGTATCCAACTTCCAGCCTGTCTCCAGACTCCCATTTGTTTCAAAACTACTGGAGAAAATAGTCAAGTCCCAGTTGAAGTGCTTCCTGGAAGGTCACACCATCTTAGAGCTATTCCAATCTGGCTTCAAACCTCTCCACAGCACTGAAACTGCCCTGCTGAAGGTTTTTAATGACATCTTCAAATCCACAGATACTGGTGATTCTGTGCTGCTTTTACTGTTGGACCTCACAGCCGCCTTTGACACCATCGACCATGAGATCCTCATTGCTAGGTTGGAGCAGTGGGTGGGCATCACAGGGTCAGCCCTCAATTGGTTCAGATCTTACCTCACTGACAGATCCTTTTGTGTCTCCATCAAGGATTTTAGTTCCGCAGAGGCAGAGCTTAAATGGGGGGTTCAAAGGGGTCCATCCTGGTACCCCTCCTATTCTCTTTATACCTGCTGCCACTTGGTGCTATTTTCCGGAAACACAACATGCCCTTCCACTTCTGTGCCGATGACTGTCAAATTTACTTCCCCCTAAGACACAAAGGTGCATGCTCTATTCAACCGCTGCTTGACTGCCTGGCTGACATCAGGGACTGGATGGCTTTTAACTTCTTAAGTTTCAATGAAAAGAAGTCTGAAGTCATGTTGTTCCCTCCCAATGACACGATCACAAACCACTGCATCGATCTTTCCGCTCTAACCCTGTCAGAAAAACAAAGAGTCACTAATCTGGGAGTGATAATGGACCCTTCCCTGAAACTTAACAATCACGTAAACATGATTGTTAAATCATGTTTCTTCCAACTGAGGCGGCTGTCTAAACTGAAGCCCATATTGTCCAAAAATAACCTGGAGACAGTAATACCTGCATTCATTACATCTAGGCTTGATTACTGCAATTCACTCCTGTTTGGTATCAGTCAGACCTCCATGCACGACTGGTCCAGAATGCAGCAGCCCGATTTTTAACCAGTACAGGCAAAAGAGAGCACATTACACCAGTTTTTGCCTCAATGCACTGGTTACCGGTTCACTTTCGAATCCAGTTCAAAATACTCATGTATGTCTACAAATCACTGAACAGTGTCCCCCCCCAATCTCTCTGATTTGCTACAACCGTATGTCCCACCACGTTCCCTGAGGTCAGCGGACCAGTTGCTCCTCACAGTTCCAGGATCTCGTCTTAAGCGCAGAGGTGACAGGGCCTTCTCTGAAGCAGGACCAAGACTTTGGAACGAGTTACCTCTGCTTGTCAGACAGGCCCCCTCCCTCTCGGTTTTCAAGTCACTTTTAAAAACCCACTACTATTCAGTGGCTTTCAACACCAGATGATCTGTGTTTTGATCCTGTATGCTCCACATTGGTTAGTCGTCATTATCTGCATCGTTTTTATGTCTATATTCTGATTTACCTCATTTTGTATTTTGCTTTGTGTGTTACCTGTTGTTCTGTCTGTACAGCACTTTGGTTGTTCTTGTAGCTGTTTTAAGTGCTTTATAAATAAAGTGGTATGGTATGGTATGTTATGGTAATACACGCTTTGCACGTCATCCAGTAACGAACGGAACTGATGGTGATTTAAACCTTTTGCCATTATTTTATTGATAATCTGAATGACAACTTTCATGAAATCTGTGCATTCTGGAGGAAAAGTTTGTGCACACAGTGCCTCTTGGTGCAGAATGCAGCTTTCTAGCCTCTGACTTCTGCAGCAACGTCACACAGCCCCTGTGCGCTCCAGTCACACTCGGTGCCCCATCAGAAGGCACTGACACTAGGTGGGTGGGTTTTATTTCTATGGCTCTTAAACAATCAAGCACAGCCTCATAGATGTCCTCCCCCCAAGGACAGTGTGACCGGGTGGGAGTGGGTTTTGTTATGTTTTTTTTCTTTCTTCTTTTTTTTGTGTGTGTGTGTACTGGGGAAAAAAATTAAATAAAGACACTGATTAAAAAATAGATTAATAAAGTAAAATAAGGATAATTGGTTTACTGAAAGTTAAACTGGGTTTCTTTTTCAGAAACAGATCCAGTCTAACCCTGAATGCTAGAAAACGCCTTGTATCTGTGACTTTCCTTCCCTCCATTGATTACGGTGACATTATTTACATGAACGCTCCTACAAGAACCCTGCAGATGTTGGATGCTGTCTATCATGATGCACTAAGATTCATAACTGGCTGTGATTATCGTACCCACCACTGCACCCTGTATTCACTGGTTAACTGGACATCATTAACTTCATGCAGACTCTCTCACTGGTACATTTTCATCTTTAAATCACTTCTTGGTCTGCTGCCTTCATACATCTCCTCCTACATGTCTCTGCGTGAGTGCAGCTACAGTGTGCGCTCTCAGGACATTATTACCTGCAGTGTTCCCTCAGTGAGGACTGAACTAGAGAAAAGGACCTTCTCCTACTCCGCTCCTGTTTCCTGGAATATCTTACAAAAACATTTGAAGCTCTCGGCCTTGACCTCTCTAAGTGGCTTTAAGAATCTGTTGGACTCCTGGCAGGGACCAACGCAGACATGTTCCTCTTTTTAGTTTTCTACATTCGCCTTAGAATCTAGCTGTTTTTTTGTTACTTTTTTACCATCTTATTTGTAAAAAAAAAAAAAAATAAAATAAATCTGTATGCCTTATTATAACTGTTTATTGTTGTAGCTGTTGTCATCATTCTTTGTTGAAATCAGGTCTCTCTTGTAAATGAGTCCTCAAGGCTCAATGGGATTTACCTGTCTAAATAAAGGTTGAATGAAAAAAAATCCCCTCCAGAAGCCACATAATTAGTTAAACCGATCCACCTGTGTACAATCCACGTGTCAGAGGATATGAGTATATTTACACACCTGTTTTGTTTTTCCTTCTTTGGTCTGCTCCCTTCTATTGGACCCGATTGCCAAGTCTTCATGCAAACTCCCATGAAGACTTGGCAATAGTTTTTATGCCATATGCCTTTCCTGCCACCGACCACCAGGCTACCACATCCTGCAAGTATGGAGAAGAGGGCTGCCATCTACGGTGCCCAGGAAGCAGGTTGTGGGGGTGGTGTAAGGCCCTTGTTCAAGGGTGAGGCAAATAAGGGTGGAGGCAGATGTGGGGGATCAATATTTACACCCAAATTGTGATGTAACAATCATTCTAACTGGTGGCCTCTCGATCACTGTCTCACCTTCTCTAATCTCTGCGCCACCGCTCCCCATCTATACACCTGTTTTAATGGCCCCAAAATCAACATCAGCGAAACGCCTCTTTGTATTTTGAGTTACAGACAAGCACAAGACAACATGAAGACCAAGGAACTTTCCACACAAGTTAGCGACAAAGTTGTGAAGATATACAGATCAGGGTTAGAGTATAAAAAAAACCTCCAGAACCATAAACGTTCTGCTGAAGCAACACTCCTTTGGTTTAGGGAGGAACAGGTAAATGACCAGGTCAGAGTCCAGACCTTAATCCAACTGAGAGTCTCAGGTAAGATAAGTACTGTAACAACCTTTCAGCCTAGAAACAACTGGAAGGCACAGTCACGGCAACACCTACAGGCAATCTCAACAAGCCCAAGAAGCAGCACAGAAAACGTCACTGCAGCCTTCAGTGTGACTAATAAGAAGTACTGGTTGGTGAGGAGTACTGGAGTGGGAATGGTGAATACAAACACTATCACTCTTTTATTTTGTGAAGGTCCATTATTGTAAACAAATGGAAAATCCTTTTAAATTCAAGTGCAACCGGGTGGTTTATTAGTTCATTGTAAAAGTATATGTAAATTCCCACTCTTGTTTGGGCCCCTGAATGCAACTTGCCCCGTTTCTCTACCTCCACCTTCAGTGTTGCTTGGCTCATTAGTGTATATAAGCACCGGGTGTACACGCCAAACATTTGATTCTCCAGGACGTTGGCTGTTTGGTCTGTCTCTTCATGTGGTTGTAGTGTGAGCGCTGGTACGGTCTCATCAGTCATTGTAACAAGCCCTGAATCGTAAGTGGGTCATTGTAAGTGGCGGCTGTGGCTGAGTGGTTAGAGCAGTCGTCCTCCAATGCAAGAGTTGGGGGTTCAAATCCACCAGCAGTCACATGCTGAAGTGTCCCTGGGCAAGACACTGAACCCCTCATTGCCTCTGATGTGTGTCCCATCAGTGTATGAATGTGATAAAGCTCTGATTAGTCTCTTTAGAATGATTTGGTCAATTAGCTTTGTAGAGATCTAGTAGAGTGCTGTATGAATGGGTAAATGAGGCACAGATTGTAGTGTAAAGAGCTTTGAGTGTCTCGATAAGATAGAAAGGTGCTATATAAGTACAGTCCATTTACCATTTCTACTGCTGTTAGGGTAAATGTTTTGGATTAGCCACCTATGGCTGGTTGGGTGCTGTCAGTGCTGCTCTGCAAATTATTGCTGTTGTGGTGTTCTGTTTAAAGTAATTTGTATTTGTTTTTAGGATGTGTGCCAGTGGGTAGCATATTGCCAATGCAACTGTTTGAATTTACCCGTTAGTGGGGTTGTGACTTATACATACGCACATGCTTGTATTTTATCTTATATTGATGTTTATTATGTGCAGGCACCTTTTTTTTCCTGCTATTCTACGGTGAAACCAGACGTGTTTTCCCTCTCTGCCCCCCCCCCCACCCGCTTCCCTGCTGCGCTCTTTTGTCCTGTGAACCCTTAAAAAGCCTCTTTTTTCCTGCATACCTCTTAATTGGAAGGATCAGCTGGTCTCTCAACAAAATCGATCAACTTCTCCCGACAGAGTCAGGGTAAGGAGGACCCTCTGACCTCTAAGGAACAAATTGGATTCATGATGACAACTAGAATCTACTGTTTGGTTGGTGAAATCTGGTTGTCTACAAATTTGTGTGGAGGTGTTGAAGCTTGACAGTGCTCGGACTGAATGTGGAGCTGTGACAGGGAATTGGAGCAGCTGTATCAGGACTGTGTTCTCCCTGGCAGCACTCATGAATGATGGGAATAATCTGGAGAAGCTGTGAGCTCAACTTTTGGAGTAAAGGATCAATTCGGCTGTTTTGGAGTTTCCATCAGAGAATATGTACAGCAAGACTTTAAAGGGAGAAACAACAATTACGAGTTCTGCCTGACCCAAACTGTGGCCTTGACGCCGGACTTATCTCAACTCCTCCTGGAATGTTTTGAAAACAACAAAGATGCTTTGACTGTTTCCTCACCCCTCCCTTCCCCAAGGCCGTGGACATGTGGCAGAACCTCAACTGAGCTGAAGATGAACGTCACTTCTTATCTGGACTATGCTACGTCTTTCCCTTAAAAATTCAATGTTTTCACCGCCTATATGTTCATGTATAACGTCTGTTTATGTTGCTTTGCTGTGGTAGGTTTTTTTGATGCCTCAAATTGTGCCCTGTCTAGGACACGGTGTGAGAGATCTTTTTTTTATATACCATCTCTCCTCATGTTTTCTTTCCTTTTCTTATCTAAGCAAAATATTATTCTGAATAAGAATAAGAAGGCCGCGCTGATTATTTTTAGCTGCAGCTTCGTGCACTCCGCCCATCTTCGGACGACTGTACATACATATTCGCGTTGTATCTCGGTGCAATGCCAATAAAGTTTATTCTGATTCTGATTCTTACTAATTGTCATTCTGTGCACAGCAGATTGCTGCTGTTGTTGCCTTTTACCTGGTGCACAATTTTCTCACCAGCATTTTCCAATTTGTAAATCAAACTTATGGGTTGTCAGGTGTTGGTATAAACCAAATACTGACCTCTAATATGTGTGTTACTGGTTTTAAGTCCCTTTCATGATGCAAAACAATAAACACAGGGCAGTTGAGTACAAATATAACTACCATCTACATGTACAGAATGACAGACTTTCAAGATAATCCAGTTTAGCTGTAAATCTCTACTAAGAACATGTTTCCAAAATTTGCTGTCCATCAGAGATGTTCATGTTTGCCAACCAGGTCAATGAAAACAAGGTGCCTATCATAATATATAAAGTATGTATTTCTATACATTTTATTTCAGAAAATATTTACATACATAATATTAAGGTGGAAAAGCCTACATTAAGGGTAAATCACATCCATTTAGCGTTTATGGTCAATAATATTCTGAGCTCATTTGTTTTCATTTGGATTTCAAGAACTTAAACTTTTTTGTATTTTTGATTCTGAGGGTTTGTAAGACCAAAAGTGTCCTGCAGGTTTAAAAATTGGCCAGACTTACTGGGTATCCTAATCTGATAGTGGTTGAGAACAGTAAGAGCCTCCACAGCTTCCGTCTTACTGTCAAACTCCAACAAGCCAGAGATGGTCTTAGAGGAGGCTAGAAGAAAGATAAAACCACCAACAGGGAATTAGTATCAGAAAACAGAGAGACGTTTCAGAGTCTATGTGGTGACATTTTAAATCAAGACACAATCTGAAATGAAAGACAAGAGTCTAACAGTAGGTTACACAAAAGTCCTACTTACGTTTGGCATCAAACATTTTGAATTTGATGAAGCCAGGAACATCATGCTCCATACAAAGCTGCCAAAACACAGAAAATACAAATAGTATATGTACTAAATACTACATGAGCCACTTTCCAGCAGGCTGCACAATATTAAAGGCAATATTAGTGTTGAATATTGAGACGTGATAACAGTTGTGATAAACCCACATTCACCTCAGACCTCTGATTTTCTATGGTCACCACAACGCACAGACCTCTCTCTAGTGTTGCTTTAGCATTTTAGCTACATTCTTCTAAATCACCTGAATATATTCAGTCCTCCCCCAGAAAATTTTGAATAAAGTAGATGTGATTTCCTGCATTTTGGTGTATTTTAACAGGTTGTTAATCATCTATGTTTATCTACATTTGTAAACACTCTGCTTCTGTCAAGCCCCACAGAACCGTCAAATAAGTCGGGCTAGTTTCCGAGCCTGACACTCTCTGCTCGTTGTTGTCCAACTCTTCATGTGAATCCTCCAGGCGCCTGTGAGCTCCTGCCTGCGTACAACTGCCTGGTTAGCTCGGCACTCTCTCCCACCACTCTTTAAGCAGCTGAGATTTTTTAAGGGTAGACATGGAAATGCTACTAGAAGAGGCAGATCGTATGCTGTTGTTTAAATTGAGTGTTTATGGAATTATTTTCAGTTTACATATCAAATATAAGTTTGATTTGTTCAAGGCAGTCATATTTGTTCATAACTTTATTATTAATGAGCCTGCGAGTTACCAGATCCAAGCTGGATCCTAGCAAACCGTTACTGGAATGCGCCCTGTCAAAATAAGAGAGTTCCCGGATCCTGTTCCGACAGGATCCGGATCAAATTAAGCCCAGCTTAGCAAGCAGCTAGACCAGGGGTCTGCAGCCTTAGGCTTTTTAGCCCCTCTCTAGTGTCTCTCAGTAGCAAAATAACATGGAAATGCATCTTTTTATATATTTATAACTAATTAGATTTTTAATGTAATAAATATATTGTATGACACTAATAACACCGCCCCTCACACAGTGATTGCTGGACATGGGCACCGGCGACCCCCGTGACCCAAAATGGAAGAAGCGGTTAAAAGATAATGGATGGATGGATAACACTTGAAGCTAGCTGACTGTGTGAACTCATTTTTGTAAAAAAAACCACAAAATGTTCTGTTTTCAGCTTGTGTGCTGGCCTAACATGAGTTTTCACATTTCAACTAGTTTCAGTGTTAGTCATTTGTTTGCTTGTTTGGTACATCATTACTCGAACTCCCCGACACACAGTGTGGCATCTCTTTCTGAATTGAACCTAAAGCATTTTTCAATATCCTTGAGGTAAAATGCAGAGGGAAAAACTGAAAGTGCAGTGTTTTTCATGTCAAGAGATTACTAGAATCTCATTTGTCAAATAAAGGGGCTCTAAAACAAATAGCCACTTCTTACAAAGAACATCAGAAGTAAAGACCTGTCATTACTTAATTAAAATATGCTTTTATTAAATGTTAAAGTGAATGAAACCTGCATTTATAAGAGAAATTTTGACAAATATATATTAAAAAACTGACAATTTTTCATGTTGACACTTTCATTTCTGAAGCTGCAGTTTTATGCTTTAATAATAATAAAGTGCTATGTGTTGTCATCATTGTATGTTCCCATACAAAGACGAAACTGGCTCTCTGCATTTAATCCATCACACCTGGGATACACCCAGGTGGAGCAGTGGGCAGCAATGTAGGTGCCCGGGGAGCAATTTGGGATTGGGTGTCCTGCTCAGAGACACCATGAGATGTGCAATGACCCGGGATTGAGAACCTTCGGGTCCCGAGTCGGCTGCCCTGCCCCTATACCATCTCGGCCCCTTTATTTTATTACATCAAAGTTTGATATTTATAATAATTTCCCTTAATATAGAAAGGCCTCAAATGTGCCTGAGTAGACCATTATTTAAACTTAAAGAGGGGTGTGTGTGAGTGTGTGTGTTTGTGTGTGTGTCTGAGAAACTTGTTATAACCTGTCATGTTCCCATGTAGTACTTGTAGTAAAAGGTAAGCATGCTGTCTTCATTCTAGTGTGAAATACTTCAGTTTTATTTTATATTTCAGATTTATTTTTTTTTTTTTAGGTTTTACCACATTTAAAATTAACACAATTCTGTGATAAATATTTTTAAATATTAAAATAAAAGCAACAAATGTAACATTCACTCTAAGCTGAAAGCTTAAGGGCAATAAAACAGGTACATAAACAAGATGTTTCCATTCTGTTTTTGGTTAAAAAAAAAAATTACAAAAAAAACAAACAAACACAAAACTTTACAAGAAAAGGTCAAAGATCTGATCGACACAGGTTTCCCACCTTAAGCAGACGATCCTCTGATATACATGGAGGAACGTTGTAGTAGTGTAGCACAGCAGACGGGGGCTGGATGATGTTTTTAGAGGCTTGTCCAGCGCTGCTAAACCGGTTGTTCCTGGTCATGGCAAAATCCTTATAACTGCTGGTGCCATCCTCCAACTCAAACACCTGACTGGGGATCACGGCGTGCTGCTTGGACACACTGAGCACAACATAACACACTTTATCTGTCTTGTCAAATGTGTACAAGGCAAATTTGCTTATTAAAAAAAAGTAGCAATGTTTCCAACTGACTGAGCTATAGAGAGACAGCCAGAAGATCCATGACTGCAGAAATATAAGCCTAAACATGACAAGGTCAATAAGGTCAAATACTGGTGATTAATCAAAATTAGTCTATAGACACTTGCAAAAACTATATGTTTTTATATATTTTTACTTTTTGTGATGGTGTAGCTCAAGTTTAAAATAAAAACATATTCCATTCATTCGTTTTGAAGTGGGGTCCTAATATCTTAATTTTTTTTTTGTTTGTTTACCCTTTATTTATACAGGTAGTCTCAATGAGTCACGAGAACTCATTTTCAAGAGATCTGTTTTTGGGAGCAGATGCTTTAGAGTTTTTTGCTCTATTTTTCATCACTGCCTTTCCATAAAACGCCACCTCAAAAATGGCAACAATTTTCCTTTAAAGTACTGATCAAACAAGATGAAAAACATACAAAAATAATAACCAACAACAGAGTATTTCAAGCTTTGGGATTGTTGATTGTGTAATTTTTTTTTTTGAGTTTGTAAAATATAATCTTACAAATTATGATTTTGTCACAATTTAAAGGCAAAATAACGAGATTGTCCTTAAACCCATCAAACTAAACATTGACTACTGCTGTCTCTCACCAAACATTGAGTCTTTTTCCAAACAGCTTGATGCTGTTGAGGTGTGTAATAGCTCTGTCCACAGCATATTCATCACCCATCTCTACCAATGCTGTACCTGGAACACTCTTCATGAACTTCACCTACAAACACACAAATATACACAACTAATAGTTGTGTCCTCAAAAAGTGCAAGTAAACTGTCCTAGTTCTACATAATAATACTTTGAAAAGTGTATCTGAACAAATTAATCTGAAAATGTTGAAAATGATAGGTATGGCTGTAATGATGTTTTACAAAGTCCTAAAGTTTTATTAGAAACCATTTGGTGAACTTCTGTTTATCTATACAAAAATATCATTACAAAATAGAGCTGGGCGATACCTCGATGTTTTAAAAAATATCGAGATACATTTTTTTTGTGATATAAGATGAGACTATATCAATATAAACAATATTATACTTGAAAATTTGCCTGATCTTCTTAATCCCACGCGGCCCCCTCCTTCTCCCTCCTTGAATACAAACCCAGCCCCTCAGCCGCCCGCTCCCCCCACTTCCTGCTTCTCCAGGAGGTGGGGGGAGACGTTTAGCACAACAAGTAAACATGGGATATATGAAGAGCAGCTGCTGCTGAAGAAAAAGAAAAACAATGGCTGTTCTTTTGGATATTGTTTGGATTTAAATTGTCAGATGAGGGGAAGAAAAATTATTTCTGTAAATGCCAAAACAAGTCCCAATAAAAGGTCAGAACTACAAATCCTTTTCCCCATTTAAAGCAGTGCTATAAGTGGAGTATGAAGCATGTGTGAAACTGCAGCTGCAGCTCCGACAAACTTCAGCCTCCTTCCCTGAAACAAACCACGGTATAAAACTCATTTAGCCGTGCTGTGCCTTAGCAGTTCTTTTTCTGCCCATCCAACTTCATGCAGACTCCTCCTCCCTCGCTGAATACAGTCAGCCCCTCGCTGCTGCTTAACACACGCTTACTAACGTGAAGGGGGCAGAGCTGAAGAGGATTGTTATTTAATATATGTAAATAAATGTCTAAAAAACAAACTTTAATACATGTAAATAGTTAATTTTTTAGATATTTATTTGTAGAGTTACAGCTGTTGTTAATAAATGTGCCTGTGTGACAACTGGGACAAAGCTTTGACTCAGAAATACAATTTTGTTATTATTTTATGGAAAGAAAGAAAAAAGAGATATGTATCGTATATCGCCATTTTTTTTAAATATCGAGATATTAATTTTGGTTCATATCGCCCAGCCCTATTACAAAAGGAATTTTTGTGAATTCAAACCATAGCACAAAGTAACAATCAGTGTCAAACCACAATAATAAAGTGTTTCACACATTAAAACATCATATAAATATGAGCGCACCTACCTTCTCAATGTTGCCATAGAGGCAGAAGAGGTTGAAGATGCGGGCGCAGTTCATCTTGGACGGATGGAGGCCACTCACCATTGCTACAGAGCTGGAGGCGTGGCCGGAGTACGATGAAGATACCTGTGGCATTGGGTAGGACACCATATCTGGAACGTCCATCGAGGAGAGCTTGTACCTGCTGCTGCTGGGCAGAGGCAGCAGGGGGCAGGCCAGACCTCCAGAAACAAACAACAGACTGTAGCTCACTCAAGTTGACTTCATTCAGCCTTTCACAAACAACACAAACATTGTGACTGTAGATACAAGGGCTGCATTGTTGCTGTGGTATGTCTCAAAACTGGATGTGAATAGGAAAAATGTAAGCATCAGCTGCTGATTATCAAACAAATAAGTAAGGACTGTTGAAGAGAACCTACAGCCCACAAAATAACCCAGTGTAAATGACAAAATACAGCCATACACTGACGCCAAAACAAAATGAGTGCCTCCTGTAGGCAGATTATAGAACAAGTTCTATGTCATATAGGCTTCGCCCTTTAAGGCTGTCGCTGATGGGTTTATCCCGTTATGCGTAGCATAAGCACTGAAAAAATTTAGTCCACGCCCACCTGCTGTGTGGGCCCCACCCGGTCCGTATAAATTACGTTAAGAGCGGGAAATTGGCTCCCATTTTTTCTTCAGCGAGCTTAATAGCACTGTCAGAAGAACAAAGAGGATAAATTGTGTAAATGACCAACCTTTGTTAAGGATGCTTGGCCCGGCAGTCGACCTCCGGTCGTCCGGTGAGTTCTCCTCCCCGAGGAGAAGATGACGAGCAGTCTTATTCCAAGGTAAGTGCCGGGGAACATTTCCCAGTGACAGGTCACTACACGCTGGACAACGCCATCTTGTATTTTTTCCTCTTATCGCCGACCCTCGGGGCGAACCGGATGGTTCCTCCGGGGCAAGGCGTGCTCAGCTGCAGCCCCCGCTGCTCATTCCCTCCTGGGGAGCGTAGTGTAGGTGGAGGGGGGCTGAGTGAATGCTCACCCCATCCCACCTCGTTTCGCATCGGCGATCACACCGCTCCCGGCCGACAGCGCCCTCACGGTTGCCCGGCGGAACCCAGGAGGAGGCTGACATGAAGGGACCCCTTTTTTCTACGTCCCACGCCTTTTCCCGCCAGTTCGGATGATCGGCGGGAAGGTTGTTTTCACTGGGCTCCACTCTGGCTCACCGTCTTGATCCATACGGCCCCGTGTTCCAACAGGACGTTAGACGGGCGAGGCCACAGACGGTTCTTTCCTGGTAGATTGGGGGAGTTGGTCCCCAGTCCGCTCCCATCACCAGAGTTGAGGGATTCACCGAGCGGGGCTATTCCTCGGTAACCCCCCTGGAGCCAAGCCTCGCGGAAGCTTTCGGAGCGAAGCTGCCCAGGTCGGAGCAGCGTCCTGTCCCTCCGGAGGAACACGAACCAGACGGTGACCACGCTCTCCAATCGAGCCCACCGATGTGTTTTTCAGGCAGCCGCAGCTAGCAACAATGCGGCGCTGCTAGCATATAGCATGTCCAAGGGACTGAAGGCCGCAGACCTGCCTTGGAGACAAAGAACTCCTTCTGTAGGGCAACTGACGCCAGCTCAACATGTGTGCCTCTCTTACGGTTTGCCTGTCGAGGATTGCAGCGTGGATGACGATGATCCAACGATCCACCTGGCTTCGTTACTCCCCTCGCTGCCGGAGAAACTGCACAAGACCTGATGAAGCCCATCGCGGACGCGCTGTTCAGAGCAGCTTCAAACCATGCTGGCGAATTGAAGCAGTCGGAGGAGGTGCCAGAAGCTGTGTGCCACCTCATCAAGCGGCGCGGCCCATCCCGGCCCGCTGGAGGGACCGTCGCGAGCAAGCTTCGACTTTTCCACGGCCGCGGCTCTCGCTGAGTTCCACCACCAGCCCCGCCCGTCAGAATCCAGCCCTCTTCATTCCGGCAACCTGCAGCTCAGCGTTTCCCCAGAGTTCGCCTGCAAGACAGCGCTCTGGGCAAACAATCGCAGAGCTCATGAGAGAGAAGTTTCTCAAAATGACGGTCTCCGGAGGGTGTGTGTAAAAGTGACACGAAAGTTGAAATAAATCATCATTTAATGATCAAAGTGTCTGTTTTTTAGCCAGTCTGTAAGCTCGGATGAGCTCACAGCGGCCGCACACATAAAGAGCCGGTGTCCTTAATAAGGTTTTTTAAACTCACCGCCGCTCCAAGACATTACTAGTCGCTCACACGGCACGATGGTAAGTGAAAATAACTCGTTATCATCCCGAGCTGCACGATCCTCACTCAAGCGGTGTCAACTCGCATTCGTGGGATGAAACAGCCTCCACACATAAGAGCCAGTGTCCTTAATAAGGTTTTTTAAACTCACCGCCGCTCCAAGACATTACTAGTCGCTCTCACGGCACGATGGTAAGTGAAAATAACTCGTTATCATCCCGAGCTGCACGATCCTCACTCAAGCGGTGTCAACTCGCACTCGTGGGATGAAACAGCCTCCATCCAACGGCGCTGCGTTGATGTTGGCGCACACACACAGCTGCCCGGCGCTAACCGGCTCACATCGGTATAAATGTGGTCCGCAGGCTGGTTCGAATGGAGGTCCTTCACTCTCACAAGAAGCGACACTCGTCTCAACGAATCAAACGCGGGCAGCCGTCACCCACCACGTCTCAGCGTTCGGCAGTTCACGGCAGCATAAGTGTGAGGCAGCTGAACGAACCCGGTGATGAGCCCCACCTCCCTCCAGCGCGCGCCCCTCCAGCGAGAGCGGCGCGCGTCTCTCCAGAGAAACGTGTGCTCTCGCGGGGCTAGCAGCCTTCACTCCAACAGCACGGCGTAAATGAAGTCACGCCCTCCGCCTCTCAACGTTCGCACAGCGACGCCAAACGCGCAGCCCCACCGCGTCATCAGCTGTCACACGCTTCGCCTCAGCACAAGCTTCGCCTGGGGTCGCGCAGAAAACATTCCCGCGACGCATGACGGCGGTTGAGGGGCGGACTGCTGACAGCCGTACAAAACGTGACACATCACTTAAACGCACGTTCACGTGCATGGCTAAACATGCTCACCGTTTTTCAGATGGATGGACAGGGTGCTATGCAATGGTTATAAGTTACAGTTTGCAACCCGAACCCCTCCATTCAGAGGAGTTAGAAACGGTCCTGTCATCATCAGACTAAATCTCATCCCTAAATGCAGAAGTCCAAGTGTTTCTGATAAAAGTAATCTACAGAGTCCCCCAACGGAGAGAAAACACAGGGTTTTATTCACGGATCGGAGGGATGAGACCGTTTTTTGGATCTGTTGTGCAACATCCAGAGAACGCATACCGATTATCCCAAAACACAGAGGCGAGAGTTTTTTGTTTTACCTGGATGATCTGCTGCTCCTGTCACTCCAGACAGGAGGCGCTGATGCAGGATCAGGTGTTGACATCACACCTGTTAAATCTGGGCTTCACCATAAATTGGAAGGAAGCTTGATTTTCCCGGCCCAGACAATTGTTTATCTGGGAATGCAATTAATTCAACCACCATGAAGGCTCGTTTATCACAAACGAAATTCGACACATTTAAAAGTCAACTCCGCCACGTAAGACCTGGCAAGTGATAACAGCTGTCTCCGTCATGAAGCTGTTGGGAATAATGTCATCAGCTCACACAGTGGTTCCGTTGGGTTTGTTACACATGAGACGCCTCCAGAGGTGGTTTGCGCGTCTGCGTGTGGATCCAGTAAAACAAAAAAACGACGAATGATCATTGTCCCTCCCTCTGTGAGAGTAGGCCTCCGACTCTGGGAAACACTCTGGTTCTGTCAGAGGGAGTTCCCGTCAGCAGTCCCACGTCACACGTGTCAGTCTTCACGGACGCGTCGCTGTCAGGTTTGGGGGGGGGACATGCCTATCCCAAGCAGTAGGGGCGCTGTGGCCCCACCACACATCAGCCCACATCAATGTTTTTGGAGTGTCGTACAGTGCTGAATGTGATTCAACACTTTGCTCCCGTGCTACAGAATCAACACGTGTTGATTCACACAGACAACATGGTGTCCGCTGCGTACATTAACCGCCAGGGGGGCGTGCGTTCAGCCCAGATGTTACACATTGCGCGAAGCTACTGTGTTGGGCTCACCGAAACCTGCTCTCCATCAGAGCAGGTTTACATATCCGGTGTTCTGAACAGAGGGGCAGATGTGATGTCCAGGGGCGGCCCACATCACGCGGACTGGACCCTCCATCCAGACCTGATGTTTCAGATGTGGCAGGAGTTTGGCAAAGCAGCTGTGGACCTGTTTGCGACGCGAGAAAACGCTCAGTGTCAACTATGGTTTTCCCTGAGCCCGCGAGACGATCCACCGCTGGGGGTGGATGCATTTGCTCACAGCCCGTGGCCCAAAACGCTTCTGTACGCGTTTTCCCCCACCTCCTCTGTTTTTACGGTTCCTGAACCGAGTTCAGGAGGAGGGATTGACAGCTCTCCTGGTAGCTCCCGAGCTCGTGAACGCACCATGGTTCCCAGTCCTGCAACGTCGGTTGTCGGGTCTTCCGTGGAAACTGTTGCTCCGTCATGCCTTAGAATTCAGGCTGACGGGCAGCTCAGCTGATTTAAGACCAACCCAGTTTTTATGCCTAAAACATCACGAGCTCTTTTTTAAATCAAGAGTGATATCGTTGGAGGGGTTTCTCCACCCCCCCCCCCCCACACACACACACACAGATCAGAAGAAGAAGCATCTTTTCATCTTCTCAGTCCGGTGCGGGCGTTGACGTGTTACATAGCGCGCACGGCTGTAATGCGTCAAACTCAACAATTGTTTGTGCATTATAGATGCATCTACAGTTCGCCCGTTATCCACCCAGCGCTTGTCACACTGGCTGTGTGAGGCCTTTTCTGAAGCCTACAGAGCATCAGATTTAGGGCCTCCTGTCAACCTCAAAGCACACTCCACCAGGGGTATCGCATCTTCGACTGCTCTGCATAATGGTATGTCAATGCAGGACATTTGCACTGCGGCTGCATGGTCAACACCCTGCTCATTTATTCGCTTTTACCTACGTGATGTAACGGCTCGTTCCATGACACATTCTGTCCTTAGTGCTCTAACAGAATGAATATTGTTGTTCTCATGGAACTCTGTTTAAGCTCACTTCTGTCTGCATGCATTACAGTGTGAGATGTTGTTATCAGTCACAAGTTGTGTATGTGATTTTGGTTCTATTGTCACTAATCAGTTTATGACTATTGTTACCAATCAGTTCATTTGACCAATAATCAGTCCATTGATATTAATCGGTTTATACTGATCAGCCATGAACCAGTTGGTTCATGCCCCCCCCCCCCCACACACACACTTTTCAACATCTTCTCCACGTTGAAAGTTTTCCGGGGCGTTCATGCTTTGTCAGAATGCATAGTTACACAACATGCGTCTGTGCATGGCACATAATTACGCGATGCGTAGTTATGCACACGGGGAGCTGAGTGACAAGACGTTTTTTTGGGCAAGCTTCCGCTTCTTACTGTGTTCGAATGGACCCAGTGAGGCGAGGACCACATCCGCTTCGCCCTTAACCCATCAGCGACAGCCTTAAAGGGCGAAGCCTATATGACATAGAACGTTGGTTATGTACTGTAACCCCAGATTCTATGAATATAGGCGTAGCCCTTTAAGCGTCGGGCCTCACTGGCTCCTAAATGGCTGAAGAAAAAAGCTATTTTGGGAGCCGATTTCCCGCTCTTAACGTAATTTATACGGACTGGGTGGGGCCCACACAGCAGGTGGGCGTGGACTAAATTTTTTCAGTGCTTATGCTACGCATAACGGGATAAACCCATCAGCGACAGCCTTAAAGGGCTACGCCTATATTCATAGAATCTGGGGTTACAGTACGTAACCAACGTTTTAAATCCATGTCAATATTGAACCCCCCCCCCAGACTAAAAATGTAAATACGTCATCATTTTTATCATGTGCTGTTGAATCACGAAGTTCTTACCTTGCTGTTGTTTATTCAAAAACATTTTCTTCTAACTAGTTTAGATGTAATTAGTAAGCTAATGCTTAAAAAGAATCATGATTGTGTGTGAGTGTGACTGTCGGCCTCACATGATGAGCTCACAACCTCTGGCTCCAAAATACAACATGGCAGCTCCCGTAAAACGGATACGTTGGCTTCACTTTAGAACAAAAGTAGATGGAGATGCTCGATCGTCCATCTTTATATACAACTTTTTAAAGATAATATCAGATGTATTTAGTCTTTTAATAAAAATTGATGTGTTGCTTAAGCTAAAAGTGAACACAGGTTCTGGTCTGAATAGATTGAAATTAAATTTTCCCATATTAAACAAGCCTGTTTAGCTACATATTCCTAGAGTTACCAATATAAATAAAAGTTTGACTGTATGTATACTGACACAGATTGGAGCTCAATGGAAAGCACCTACAACTGCTTCTTATCAGCTATTTTGTTTGGAATATATTTTGGGGACAAGGGGCAGATATTATAAGAATTCATTCTTCTTCTGCTGCCTTTCATTTTATTTCTGTGATTGTATATCTTTTTTCTTTTCTTTAAATTGTATTATATTTGTTGTTTGGATGAAATGAAATGAATAAATAAAACATACATACATATAATCAATCGAATAGTAACTTAATGAGATTTTAGCAAACAAAAATCATCAGTAATACAATATGTCTAAAATAAATGTTTAAAAAGTGATGAAAGTAAAAGGAAATTGAAATAAATTAGCCAGTAAAGGATAAAAATATATGTATTTTTAAGTACAACTATGTTAAATTATATTATATTTATTCTAAAACAGACCTTTCTTAAAGTGCTTGATTAATTTGATCTGATGAGTCAAAATATGAAGCACATTAGAGAGGAACCAAAAACAGAGTCAAATATAAAGGTGAGATTTCGATGTGAAGATGATCCTATTTATATTGATTTTTAGTTCTTTTCAGGGCATTCTCTGAACACCCTGAAGGCCCGTCTCTGGTGTGTTGATGGAAACGTGTCTGGTTTCACTGCTGAGCACAGCAGATCAAGTAGGAACATTGAATAAAACAACAAACTGAGTTCCCTTAGTCTTAATCTTACCATAACCATTATCAGTGTAGGATGATGGGTGTTCTCCTAAAATAGCCTGTCGTCTTCCCTTTCCACGTTCTGAAACATGCAAACACAGACTCACATTAGATTCTGTGTTCAACATCTGTTAATCTACAAAAAATGTACAGCTTCAAAACTGTAAACACAAAGTTTCAATCGATGTTTATTTCTTCAGTCTATTAACTTAAAAGAGATGTGCCCCAACAGAAAACTCTGACTAAAACTAGAACTAATTTCCTATTAGTCTTCCTGGTGAACTGATAACACCTCCCACAGTGACGTCTCAATTCTACATTGTCTCAATTCTCCTTTATAACAAAGACTTTTTCCTCAGTTTATTTAAACAATCTATGATTAAATTATAATTATCTGTCATAATTCTAACAAGAACACTGAAATACCATAGCCACACCACTAGGTGGTAAGAATGTCAACTTTAACAACGTATTGGTTAAATGAGAAGCAAACAACCAGTCACTCTCTCTCTCTCACCTAGGGACAATTTAAAGTTACCAATCAGCCTAACATGCATGTTTTTGGTCTGTGGGAGGAAACAAGAGTACCCGGAGAAAACCCACGCATGCACAGAGAGAACATGCAAACTCCACCCAGAAAGGCCCCTGGACTGGGATTTGAACTCGCTGAGAGACAGCAGCTCTACCAACTGCACCACCGTGCTGCCCATGCTCAGCTTAATGGTTCTCTAATTTTTTTTCTTTTTGATTTGCTACAGTTTATTGATTCTGCTCAATTATTACCCATTTCAGCACACTACCAAAGTTTAATGACGAGAGTGAAACACGGCATTGTTTTTGAAAAGTATCTCCAGTTTACACGGATCTGTCAGATCTCCATTTCGGAAAGTAGTTTTAAAAATCCCAATTTTTCTCACCAGAAACCTTCATTTGTGTATGGACAAGAGATGCAAAGGCAGCAAAATGCAGGTTTTATATCTGGAGTAGTGTGGACGGGAGCTGAGTGAAGCTGACACCCCACCCACTTCCAAAATTAAAGCAAATAGTCTGAATGGTTAGTGCTCCGTTAGTGCTGGTTTGTGCCGTTAAAATGTTCGTTTGTGCTGCTTTGGTTTAAGAGATATTAAAAGTTATAATTTTGACCTGTAATAGACGCTCAGGCGCGTTCACGCGTCCTCAGGCGCGTTCAGCACACGTCAGGGCAGAGCGTTTACTTAAGGCGGGCGCGCGCTCCGGCTGTAATTGTGTGGATCAGATTTGACAACAAAAACACAACTGTCGTAAATGTTTCCTTTTAGTACCTGATTGCGGTTATAAAGGACGCGTGAACGCGCCTGAGCACGCGTGAACGCGCCTGAGCGTCTATCACAGGTCAAAATTATAACTTTTAATATCTCTTAAACCAAAGCAGCACAAACGAAAATTTTAACGGCACAAACCAGCACTAACGGAGCACTAACCATTCAGACTATTTGCTTTAATTTTGGAAGTGGGTGGGGTGTCAGCTTCACTCAGCTGTGGACGGGGCATAATTACACAACAAAGATTAAAATCAAACTGTCTGTCTTACCTCGTCTGACCAAGTACGGTTTAGTGTAGTCCCAGCTCTCATTATCATTCTTTATTACATTAAGACGTGATGGCTGTTGACATGAAGGTAAAAACAAATATTCAGGACAAAGTCAGGTACAATGTATTTCTGTTTTGTGTAAGCAGAAGTCCAATACGACAGCTGAAACAATTTTGTATTTTGATATCTTATAATGTGATTTTTGTTCATTTCATTGCTGATATGTATCTGAAAATAGTTGATTTTTGGATTTGCCATCTGAGTGGCTTCAAACCGAAAAGTTTTCATTACAAGACACCTTTATATGATTTTCAAATTGATTTAAAATTGGCTATTGGAAGACCTAAATAAATACAGATAAGAGTCATTATGAAAACACATACTGTAAATAATAAAGTCCATGCTCAATAATCCAGGTATACAATCCAACATTTTTCAGTCAGGTCATCTGGACAGTTTCTTTTTTTGTACTGAAACGTTTCGCCTTCGATCCGGAAGGCTTCATCAGTCAAGGAAACACACAACAAAACTGATTCTTCCCCCAACAGCTTACTCCAAAGTGGAACAAACCAGTTTCCAATGGAGGAGGGGACGTACCAAACAGACCATCTAGCACTAACCAAACTGGTTTGTTCCACTTTGGAGTAAGCTGTTGTAGGAAGAATCAGTTTTGTTGTGTGTTTCCTTGACTGATGAAGCCTTCTGGATGGAAGGCGAAACGTTTCAGCACAAAAAAAGAAACTGTCCAGATGACCTGACTGAAAAATGTTGTACATACTGTAAATGTTTTCATTTTAATTTATCCAAACAATGCCTGTTGCACAGCCATAAATAAACACAAATCTAATTTAGATGTAGCGAACAGCTCTAACATTAACCATACAGCACAATGAGACCAGTTTTTTTATTCTTTTTTTACTGGTGATGTGTTTCTTAGTTTCTTACCCTGGCATATTCAATCTTGAGCGTACAGCAACCAGCATAAATGTCAGCCCCGTTTAGTGCTGCTTTGGCCTTCTGAGCTCCCTGAACCGACTCAAATCTAGAAGAGTCAAGTTAAGGAAATAACACTGCACATTTCAAGCATGAAAACACAAAGCATGCAGACCCACGTTTCATATGCGTTTGATGTTCTGCATTCAAACCACCTTTAGTGTTTCCATATTCATGTTTGATTCCAAATATGATCTGAGATAATGAACAACAGCTAAAATAGTTTTATTTCACTGCTCCTGCTGGGAAATAAGTACAGATAAAAGTCATTGCAAGGTTTTAAAGATTTTTATATAATACCAGGAAACAAAACAAAGAAGAGCTGCAACTATGTTGAATGATAAGGTGTCAACAGTGGTTCACTCCAAAACATTCAGGAATTTTTATGTCTGAATGATGGATGACACAGTAAAGTGGTTTGACAAACAAAAAAGAAAAAAGAAACTCCATCCAATAGGTCAAACCACACTCTCACAGTAAGGATACTCAACCATGGCCTGAATCCCATTTCGTTTAAAGATGACGATCCTCAGCACACTGCCTATGGGGTTACAAACGGTGTACAGAACATCCTGTGCAAAAACAAAAAGATGTTTAACAATTCACCAGTTTCAAATATTGAACAATCTGTCCAAGTATAAAAACATTGAGTTACTTATATTACTTCAAATATATTCAATGATCATTCTAAATAGGAAAGATACTTGTAGATATCTGGACCTATAAAGGTGGTAGAAAGGTCATGTTATCTGTCTAGGGACGATTGACATCTGAGATGTTTGAAATGGTGATCTGGGAGAGAGTTATGGAAGCTAGACATAGGTGAGAGGTGACTGTAAGCTGCAATATGGTTTCATGCCTAGACAGCGCACCACCGATACCATCTTTGCTTTGAGAATGCTGGTGGAGAAGTAGAGTTGCGATTTCTGAACCGAGTCCGGGCCCGGCCCAAAGTTCAGGCCGGGTCAGGCCAATATTACCATATTTTTCAGAGGCAGAGTCAGTCAGAGTCAGAGATTTGTTCGTCATACACACCACATGGGGTACATGTGGTGGAACGAGATTATTATTAGGGTTCCAGTTACATCCAGCAATAAAATGTAAAAGAGAAACAGTAATAAGATCTAAGATATGAACTAAGAAAAACATCAACTAAATAACACACTAAGCACTAGTAGCATAAAAACAATACATTGAACAGCAGCATGAACATGAGTCTGTGTGAACAGATGAGCATGCATGAACACAGCAACATGAATAGACCAGCAGCAACATGAACAGATCAGCAGCAACATGAAACAGATCAGCAGCAACATGAAACAGATCAGCAGCAACATGATGTGATTTTTCACAGTGATTATTCTGGTTAGAGATTCCTAAGTCTAACAGCCTCAGGGTAGAAGCTGTTCCTCAGTTTAGTGGTTCTACACTTAATGCTCCTCAACCTCCTTCCTGAGGGAAGTGGGGAAAAAAGTGTGTGATGGGTGTGTGGGGTCCTTCATGATGCAGGTGGCCCTCTTCCTGCATCTGGAGGTGTAGATGTTTGTGATGGTGGGGAGACTGACTCCAACAGACTTCTGTGTAGCCTTCACCACTCTCTGCAAAGCTTTTCTTTCTGCAGCTGTGCAGCCTCCATGCCACACGTTGATGCTGGAGCACAGGATGCTCTCCACTGCACACCTGTAGAAGGAGATGAGGACTGAGCTTCCCAGACCAGCTTGTCTGAGGAAGTAGAGTCTCTGATGAGCTTTCTTGATCAGGCTGGTGTTGTTGCTCCAGCTGAGGTTGTTTTCTGTTGATCAATTCTCACGGTATGCATACTGATGAGGGTCCTCGTTGATGTTGATGGCTGTTTTGATGTGGGTCATGACCAGTTTTTCTAAGCATTTAGTGACTATCGGGGTGAGGGCCACTGGCCGATAGTCATTCAGACCAGTCACTGTAGAGCTCTTTGAGACTGGGATGATGGTGGCATTCGGCCTATAAGTCACAGTTTTTTGCATAATTTGCATGCCCTGTGACTTATAGGCTGAAGTGACATATTTATGGATTTTTTCCCCATATTTAGAAACCAATTTTTGTCTGAGATATGACCGTTTTCATTCATTCTGACTGGAATTTTTGAACACTAACATTTTTAGCCACTAGATGGCACTTTAAATAGTAAATGGTAAATGGACTGTACTTATATAGCGCCTTTCTATTTTATTTCAAGATACTCAAAGCACTTTACACTACAATCTGTGTCCTCATTTAGCCATTCATACAGCACTCTACTAGATCTCTACAACACTTATGCCCCTTTTCCATTAGTACCTGTAGTACCGGTACAGCACGGCTCTACTCTACTCGGTACGGTACAGGTACTAATGGAAAAGGGGCAT